GTAAATAGTCACTAAAAGTAGGATTGCCATTAAATCTCTAATTTTATTTATTTTTAATTTATTTTTTAAGCGAGGCAACCTTTGGTTGACCTCACAGATTGCAAAGACCTTGTCAGCTTACAATCCCTTATTTTTTTATTTTTTATGCCTACAGCACTTGGTCCTTCTGGGTGGTCTCCCATCCAAGTACTAACCAGGCCGGACCCTGCTTAGCTTCCAAGATCAGACGGGATTGGGCTTGTTCAGGGTGGCATGGCCGTAGACAGTATGGCCATTTTAATGATATTAATCAGAGAGAGAAAGACAAATATCATATGGTTTCATTTATATGTAGAGTCTGAAAAAACTAAAGAAATAAACAAAACAAAACAAAAATAGACTCATACAAACAGAGATCAAACTGATGGTTGTCAGAAGGGAGGGGGGCAGAGGGATGGGTGAAAAAGGTGGAAGGGAATATAGTCAATAAAATTTGATGGGTTTGGTCCATGACTGATAATTACTAGATTTAGTGTGGTGATCACATTGTAAGGTATAAAAATGTTGAATTATTATGTCGTACACTTGAAACTAATATAATATTCTATATCAACTATAAAGAAAAATAAAAAACACATTTGCAATTAAAAAAACCCACACCAAGATACATTATAATCAAACTTTCAAAGTCAAATACAAAAAGAGAATCTCGAAAGCAGCAAGAAAGAAGCAAATTGTTACATACAAGGGATCCTCAATAAGATCATTAGAGATAATTTCTCATCAGAAATTTTGGAGGCCAGAGAGAATGTGTCAATATATTCAAGGTGCTTAAAGAACCCCCCTCTACCCCCCAAGCAGAACTGTCCTTCAAAAGTGAGGAAGAAATTAAGACATTCCCAGATAAATAAGAGCCAAGGGAGTCTATGACCTCTGGACATGACCTGCAAGACAGGCTCAAAGGAGCCCTGCAAAGTGAAATGCAAGGACACTAAAGAGCTAACTCGGAAAACCACAGGGCGAAATAAAGATCTGAATACAGGGAAACACACAGGCAGTTATAAAAGTTAGTATTATTATAAGGATGGTTTCGAACTGTACTTTTTGTTTTCTACATGATTTAAGTGACTAACACATTTAAAGAAAAAAAAATACAATAATGAGTGTAGGAGCTAGTATTACTGTAACTCTGGTTTGTAACTCAAAATCTTGTTTTCTACATAACTTAAGAGATTAATACATTTAAAGGAGTTATTGGTTTACGTTTTTAGCATATAATGTATAAAGATGTAATTTGGTGATTTAGTGATATAATCTACAAACGAAAGGAGTGGGGCCACAGCTGTAAAGGAGCAGAGCTTTTGTGTGTAATTGATGATAAACTGGTAAAAATTCAGATTAGAGTGTTATAACTTTACAAAGTTAAACGTAATACCCATAGTGACCATGAAGAAAATACCTATAGAATATACGCAAAAGGGAATGAGAAAGGAATTTAAACATTTCACTACAAAAAAATCAGCTAAACGCAAAAGAAGACAATAATGCAGATGATGAGGGACAAAAATACTGTAAGACACACAGTAAACAAATAGCACAATGAGATAAGAAAGTCCCTTTTTATCGGTAATTTTTGTCATTGTAAATGGATTAGACTCTCCTGTCATAAGATAGATATTGGCAGAATGGATGAAAACACATGATCCAACTATATGCCATGTATAAAAGACTCAACTGAGCTCCAAAGACACAAACAAGCTGAAAGTGAAAGGATGAAGAAAGATATTCCACGTGAATGGCAGGCAACCAAATGAGGGCAGGGGAGCCAGACGAAACACTTAAAATTTAAAAATGTTTCAAGAGACAAAGGACATTTATATTAATAAAAGATTCAACACAGTGAGAAGATAGAGCAATTATAAATATTTATGTACCCAATGACAGACTGTTAAAATACATGAAGCAAAAATTGACAGAGTTGAAGAGAAAAATAGATAGTTCTACAATAATAGTTGGAGACTTTCACACCCCACACATAATAATGGACAGAACAGACAGATGATACGTAAAGAAATAGAGGACTTGATGTAGTTATATATGAATAACATAGAAATTGATACCTACAAGTATGATGCTGTCCTAATAAAAATCTCAACTATGTGACAATCATTAGCTTTGTGACTGGATAACAACAGGTGGTATGGAAACTGTTATAAGAAGCTAGAAAAATAGTGGTAGAAGTTATGGAGAGATGATACATTTAGTAAAACTGTCTTCTGTGACAGTGAAAGACAGAAAATATACCTAACAGACTGGGTCATTGGACAAAGAGATTTTGAGGTAGAATGCTTAGAGTATGAGTTGGTTGTTGTTTGCTTCATTTGATAAGGTGATACAAGAAAGAAATCAGCTCAAAAATATTTGAACAGAATAACTGAATTGAGAGGGAAAACAGAGAGCCCCCAATTCTAGAATTTGAAGGTTGGCTTCAGCACAGCCTTAAGGCAAAGGTCAAATCAAAGTTATGGCTTTTATATCTGTGGTAGACAATCTCTAAGATGGCCACCATCGAGCCCCATCTCCGAGCATTCACACCCTTCTGTAATCCTTTCTCCTTGAGGGTGGGCTCAACCCTCACTGGGCTCAAGAAGCCACTCACTTCTAATGGATGTAAATATGGCAAAAGAGATGGAATTCGGGTTCTGAGATTAGGCTGCAACGAGACTGTAGCTTCTATCTGTGTGTCCTCCCCTGCTGCCTTGCTCACTCTGATGGAAGCCAGTTACATGTTGTGAGTGGTCCTATGGGGGGAGCCGCATGGCAAGAACTGAGGGAAACCATCGGCCAACAGCCAGCCAGGAACTGAGGCTCTTAGTCCAACAGCCTGTGAAGAACTGAACCTTGTCAATAACCGCGTGAATGAACTTGAAAATAGATCCTTCCTTAGTAAAGTTTTCACATGAGACCCTTGCCTGATCGACACCTTGGTTGCAACCTTTTAAGAGACCTTTGATGCAAGCACCCAGCTAAGCTACTCTTGGGTTTCTGACCCACAGAAACTGTGTGATAATAAGTGTTTGTTATTTTAAGCAGCTAATGTTTGAGGTAATTTATTACTCAGCAATAGAAAATGAATTCAATAACTGTATTAGTTCATTTGGCTGCTATAATAAAATACCACAGACTGGGTGGCTTATAAATAACAGAAATTTATTTTTCATAGTTCTGGAGGGTTGAGACTGGGTGCCAATATGGTCACATGAGAGTTTTTTGTTTTTTTTTTTAGGTTGCAGATTTCTTGTTGCATCCTCACATGGCAGAAGGGGCTAGGGATCTCTCTGGGGCCTCTTTTATATGTCATGAGTCCCATTCCGAGAGCTCTTCCCTCATGACCTAATCACCTCTCCAAGCCCCCACCTTCTAGTACCATCATATTGGGCATTATAATTTCAACACATGAATTTTGGGGGGACAGAAACATTGAAACCATAGCATTCTGCCCCTGGTCCTCTCAAATTCATGTCTTTCATACATGCAAAATACACTCATTTCAACTCAACGACCCCTAGTGTTAACTCAAGCGAGCAACTCTAAACTCTCAAGTCTCAACCTCGACATCATCTAAATCAGATGTGGGCGAGACTCAAAGAATCATTCATCCTAATGCAGAGTTCCTCTCCAGCTGTCAACCTATGAAGCCAAACAAGTTATGTGCTTCCAAAATACAACAGTGGAACAGGCATCGGGCACACATTCCCATTCCGAGAGAGAGAAATAGGAAAGAAGGGTCTCAAGCAAGCTCAAAACGTAGCAAGGCAAATTCAGTGTGATATAATAGTCCTCTCTGGCTTAATGCTCTGCCTTCTGGAAGTACTGGGCTGGCAACATCATCCCTACGGCTTGACTTGAAAAGCAGTGCATGTTCACACTGAATAGCCTTCTGGCACCGTAGTATTAAAATTCAGAGTTAGACAGTTGTCCTTCATGCTGTCCTGTCTCCACCCACTTCAGTTCAAACTGGCAAATTTCCTATGTGTGTGTGTTGGGGGGCTGATCACACACATACTAATCTGCTTGTAGAATGGTTGGTCCTCCACACCTGTACTGGTCTCTTCCACGCACAATTTCTCGTTTTTTGTTATATGAACAGGCTAAGAATTTTCCAAATTTTTATGATCTATTTCCTTTTTGCTTAACAATTCCTTCTTCAATTCATTTGTCTCTTCTAGCATTTTATTATTAGCAGTCAGGAGGAATCATCCCGCTCCCTCAATACTTTGCTTCAAAATCTCCTCAGTGAAACACCTACATTTATAGTTCACGAGTTCTACTTTCCACAAAATATTAGGACAAGAACACAATTTGGCCCAGTTCTTTGCCATTTGATAGCAAGGACTACATTTCTCTACTGTCCAATCACGTTACTCATTTCTGTTTGAGACCCCCCCATAGAACCACCCGTAACAGTTGCATTTCTACCAATATTCTGTACATGGTTATTTATGTTTTCTCTAAGAAGATAGAAACTTTCTCTACAATTCTCCTCTTTTCTTTCTGAATTCTCATCAAAATTGTCTTTAAAAGTCCCTTCATAGCAATATCAGCATTTTCGAACGGGCTCTTCAAAACTCTTCCAGCCTCTACCCATTACCAGTTCCAAAGCCACTTCCAATTTTTAGATATTTGTTATAGCAGGACCAAGCGAGTGCTGTTTTAGTTTGTCTTAGTCACCTTCACCTCCTAATACTGTTAGACTGTGGGTTAGGGTTCAGCATATGTATTTGGTGGGGCACAAACAACCAGCACATCACACCACCTACATTCCTTATTCCTACTCTCGCTCTGATTTCCTCCAAAAGCACTTATCATCGTCTAACACATCATGTATTTTACTTGTTATTTTGTATATCCAGCAACTAGAATATAAGCTAGAGAAGGTAAGGACTTTGTCTTATTTTGTTCACTGCTCTATCCCTAGAGCACTTAGCTAGAGCTCAATATATTGTTGTTAAATGAATATCGGACTAGCAGTCAGGCGACATGTCTTATGCTACCATCTCTCATTAACAAGTGGTGTGGCTTTCGAGAAATAATTTAATCTCTCTGGATCTTAATTGTTTTCATCTATAAAGTAAGAGTGTTAAGAAACTACAAGGTTAGAAAACTCTATGATGTAAAGATATGGTACATAATCAGAAAACCACAATTATTACTATACAATAATTATACAACTATAAACTTTTTATTTGTTTTGCCTGATTGTTAGTCAAATAAGAAAAGCACCTACTTATTATAGCCATACTACAGGCAGGAAATTTTCATCATACCTGAGAAGTTAACTTGAGGAGATAAGTCTGAGAGTCATTGGATTCTGAACTGTCAGAGCCTCGGCTACTACAAAAAATTAATAAAAAATTATTTTAGTTTACAGAATGTTTTGGTGGCATTTTAACATTTCAGTTGTTACTTTTACTTTGTTATCTTATTGGAATGGCAGAAATAGTTCTAATCATAAGAAGAATGTTTACAAAGGTGACATAGATGCTTGGTAGCTCTAGGAAATTTAGGAGGTTAGAAGAATAACGATTGAAATTGATTGGAACACATCAAATACAAACAAATCCATGAGTTCGAAATGATACCCTCTACCTGCAAATAAACTTATTAGTAACCACTAACTCAAAGTCTGAAAATGTATAAATAAAGGGGAAGAATGAAATATTTACTCTGCCTTTCCCATAGGAACTATAATAAAATTAGTACTTTCCTTCTTCCAACAACATTCCCTTAGCATTGAATTTTGCACTTACTATTACTAACTTAGAGTGTTTATGTGGCATCTTCATAAATGTGTCAATTCTCTGTAGGTAATGACAGCCTTAAAAACAACTTGAGTATGTCTTTCACATATAGTACATAGTAAGTGCTCAATTAATATTACTTAAATAAATGAATAAAGTCTTGATGAGGTCTGGCCAAAGAAACATGCATGGGAAAAATTTTCCTCCACTTATAGTTAGAATGTTCAACTGACACTAACAATTATATTCTAGTATTATTATAAAGAACACAGTAAAACTGCATACCAAATTATATTAATTCTGCTGTCTTGACTTACCTAGACTCTGGATCCAATGTAATATCTTTGAGAGAAGTATCTGAATCATCAAGGACTTTTTCCAAGTTTATACGTTTTTGCATTTCTTCTAATTCTTTTAGGCACTGATAATACTAGAGAAAGACGATAAATGGGTTAATATAAGGTAACTTTATTTATTATATTCGATTAATTAAATTAATTGAATATTTATATATACCTGGAACAACAGTTATTGGGACATCAATTATCCAAAAAAATCTGAACACTGTTATGATATTAAAAGGAATAAATTGCCACAGGCCCATAGGCAGATTACGTTATCTGATAGACTGGAGTCTGATGTGTTACAAAATGGACTTTGCTTACCTTGGTTCGGTCTGGATCACAATAGTCCAAGAGAGAATCGCAAAAGTGATATCCCATTGACTCCAAGTCTTTTGTGTTAAAATGAGTGCCTCGTTTATTACCTAAAATATCAATAAGTTAATCCACCCTGGAGAATGAGTTAACAATTTTTCCTTAGCAGGTAGGTCTAAGTTGCAAAACAGAGTATAAACAAAACATCTGATATGATTCCATATCCTGGCCTTTGGATTTTCCTCTTTAGGACAGGTCACTGAACACCTTATGGTTTTCCCTCATTCCCTCTCCGCCACCTGGACCAAAGGTGACTTAACACAGATCAGTCTATGTTATAAAGAAGAAGAAAACTCAATAAGAAAGTTATGGAATACTTGATTACCAGTTATAAACACCTTAATGATCATATAAAGAAAATGTTTTCATCATCATTAATAATATTATATCAGTTCCAAGGGTGCTTTAAAAACTAGCTAGAAATTTCATGTGTGGATTTCTAACTTTTCTTTGAATTGATTCATTTTGAAACAATGTGATAATTATCTTAATATGAATTCTAAGGATTGATAGATGTGACTAAAAGATTTCAGTGGAACTACAGAACACACTTTGATTTTTAGTTCAAGGAACCAAGTACTTCCATTAAAATATAAATTGACAAAAAATAAAGGTCTATTTTGCCTTGCAAATTGTAAATCCACTAAAAACATTTCTATCTGATTTTAAGTAAGAACACTGCTTTTTCTTGAAATCAGTAGAGTATCTGTAGGAACCTCTTCTAAAACAAAAACAAGCAATTAAAAGATTAATTCATGAAACAACTCATTAGGTATTCTATCTATATGCTAAAACTTCCTTTTCTTAACTAAGAGAAATGATGAACTAGAGCTATATGTAGTAGGGGTTTGTTTATTCATCCTCTTTATGGAATTGATTAGATATCAGTATGTCTCTAAGTGGGAAGAAAGTGCTCACCATCAAATTAACTACACTGTTAATTTTACATTAAAAATGTCTTTGTTTTAAAGTTCTGAGCGCCGTGAATGAGAACCCTTGGTCTTACCCAGAGTAGATCCACAAAAAGTGGCCTCCATGGTAAAGCTGTTCCTGATTCCCATTTTCCACATCACCACCCTTCCTGTTCCCTCTTTGCTCTTTTGAACGTTAAACTTGCAAGCCGAGAATGAAAACTGGAAAGAAGCGAATGAATGAAACACATTGTTTTTATGACAATGTCTTTCTTAGAAAGTAGGGTTGAAAATGAAAAAGTAGTTGTAACTAATGCAAAAGCAGTAATTCTCTCTAAAACTTCAGGAATTGCTTTTATTTCCTGACCAACGGAAATAACTCATTTTAAGAATGACATATTTACATTTCTGAAAATTATAGATTTGCATTCTGGCAATAAATTCTATTTTTTTGTCTAAGACATATGTATTCAAAACCAGCTGGATAATTTTTGATACCAGTGGAATAAGATCTTATACTTCAAAAATGTTATAGGAAGGGGCTTAAGTGTTATAGATTTTCAAAATACAATGAAGACGGTTTATTTTCAATGAAAGATCACCTGAAAGCTGCCTGAAAGATTGTTATAACATCCATATATACAGAGTTTTTGTAATTTTATTTTTTAATTAACATATAATAAAATTGACTTTTTTGTTTCCTTTTATGAATTTTAACACATGTATAAATTTGTGTAACCAGTACCACAATTGAGATACAGAACAATTCCATCACTTCCAAAAAACTCTCTTACGCTATATCCCTTTGCAATCACAAGTATTTCATGTATTATGGAGCTACAGTAAATGGTATTGTTTTAAATTTTAGTTTCCAATTGTTCATCACAAGTGTAAAGAAATTCACTTGGTTTTTGTGGGCTGACTGTATCCTATGACATTGTTCAACAGACTTATTAGTTCTAGGAATTTTTTTTTTGGATTGCTTTGGATTTTCTATGAAGATAATCATGTCATCTTTATTATTTCTTCTTTTCCAATCTGCCTTTTATCTTTCTTCTTGCCTTATTGCACTTGTTAGAACCACGAGTATAAGTCTGAATTAAAGGGGTAAGAGTAGATATCCTTGCCTTGCTCTTGACCTTAGGAGGGAAACAATCAGTATTTTATCCTAAGTTTGGTGATAAGTTTGGGCATTTTCTTACTCACATTTCAAGTTATTGGTCACTAAATATTCCACACAGTTGCTTTCTTATGGTCGACTGTAGAAACCAATCAAAATAACTACATAAAAAAAACCAGTTTACTGAATAAGATTATGCATTCTGCTGTCTCATGTGGGCAACATTTAATAAAAGAAAAATTAAAACCTTAAAAGGTGCTTACCTTATCTGGACAATTTTTGCTCAACATAAGTGGGAAGATTTGCTGCTGTAAGTATAAAGCTTTACATCTATCACTACCACCACAGCCGTACATGAAGATGTTCTCTTTCCTACTATGACCGTGAAAGTCACAATATAAAATGACTTCTCGTTTTTCCATCAATCTACCAAGAAGAAAAAGAGCAAGTTACTAAAATTTACCTCTGCATTTTTCTTTTATGGGTTTACAAGTTTAATATCCAAATAAATAGAATTTCTTATAGTAGGCTTTCAATTTATTTCTCTTATCTATACTGTGTATTTTTACAAAACTTTAAATATCTACAATAATTTCCTACTAACCATATAAAAAATGCAAATGCCTTCCATTTAAGGACAAAATTTACCTTACCCCTAACACTTTCTCTGACAGGATCAAGTTTATTATCCTGGTTTTCTGTTGTATACAGAAAACAGTTTACTCTTATCTTTCTCCATTAGCTCCCACAGATTCTTTCTGACTAGAATAACTTTTCTTTCTTCATTTTGTACATGGAAATACTACCCCTCATCCCTCAAGACGGACCTCATATCTTATTTCTTCTCTAAATAGTCAAGCCCACAGATTTTTTTGTGAACTCCTGTAGCACTTAATATTGGTACCATTTATGTGGTACTTGCTTACGTAAGTTTTCATATTTTTGATATTTAATCTTGTTAAAGACAAGGAATGCTTCAAATCATCTAGAACAGTGCCACACACACAAATACCCAAAATATTTGTTAAAAGTTGAGTACTTTATGAATAGACGCTGAAGTCAATTAATATTTGACCCTGGATTATTGTGGTGAGTAAATATTGAGAAAAATGGTACCAAAGTTCGAACTGAGTTTTTTTTTCTAGTAAATTTAAAATAAATCATTTTAGGAAATTATTATATATTCTTTAGAGCTCAGTCCTTAGCTTGGATAATTTAGGCATTCAATAAATATTAAAGCAATAAAAAACAAGCCCCCCAAACTTATTGAAAATAATAGAGAGGCTTTCAAAAGGTAAAAAGTAGTGGTGTTAAGGAGGTAGAACTATGGGCATTTTGGCTTTTTTTTCATATTTCTATACTTCATATAACATTATTGTATTAATCAAAATTTTGTATATTATTTGTTATATATAGGAGAAATATAAAAATGTTAGCGATGGTTTTTATAGTAATGTAAAATGTATTACAGTAGTCCTCTCTTTATCTGCAGGGATATGTTTCAAGACCCCAGTGGATGCCCAAAACCTTGGATAGTTACCTAACTATATCCATCTACATCTATCAATCTATCATCTATCTATCTATCTATCTATCTATCTATCTATCTATCTATCTATCTATCATCTATCATCTATCTATCATCTATCTATGTATCATCTATCATCATCATCATCTATATACACACACACACTTTATGTCTTCTCTTTGGCATATCTGAATTGCCAGCATCACTACTCTTGAGCTTTGGGGCCACTGTTAAGTAAAACAAAGGTGACTTGAACACAGGCACTGGATACTGTGACAGTCAATCTCATAACTGAGATGGCTCCTAAGTGACTAATAGGAGGGTAGCAGACACAGCATGGATATGCTGGACAAAGGGGTGATTCATGTCTCAGATGGGATGGAGTGAGATTTCATCATGCTACTCAGAATGGCGTGCAATTTAAGACTTATGAATTGTTTATTTCTGGAACTTTTCCATTTAATATTTTCTGATTGCCATTGACCACGGGAAACTGAAACTGCAGAAAGTGAAACGGCAAAGAAGGATTACTGTACTTTTATAATAAAAATATTAAAGCCTAAAATCAAAATTTTCAAAACATAGCTTCTGTTAGAAACAATACTCCTTTAAAATAGTGAAATTTCATACTGGAGTCTGTTATATGTTTTAATTTATTGCCCTTTTCTCATTTGGTGCCTAATAAATTCTAATTGATAACATGAGATTGACATAAAGCTACTAAATAGTCATTATGAGTTTTTAGAAAACTAACTAGATTATAGAGCAAGAATAACATATTAGCTCCTTAAACATGAAATATGCTGTACATTTTTAAACCAGTATTTCTTCAATTTTAATGACCTTTTGGTTTCTTTGGAGTCAAAAGAAATCTCTACTTCTAAGCAACTAATTCCCAAAGAAATGTTATTACTTCTGAAGTGAAAGAGGATATTAAGGTCACGCACCTTACATTAATCTAAATCACTTTAGAAATAGTTTCGATATTTTTCTTACCCATAGGAAAGATATTCTAATATTCTATATTACAATCTACTCTTTCTTATTCTCATATTTTTAAATATACTCAACCATAGATATACTCACCTTTCCACACAAGTGACTGACTTCTAATTCTACTTACCTGCCTGTGATTAATTGCATTAAGGTCTCTTTCTTGGCAGCCTTTCTAAAATGCACTGAATAGATTCCTGCCTTAACCTTCTTATAAGGCAATCTGAGAATAACTGAGACATTTAAAATATTTTTCATGGAGACAAACCAAGGAGCATTAAGCAGACATTATAGGTACTCTAACAGACATCTCATCAGCTTCATTTTTAGATAAAAAATAATTTTTATTTTGGAATAATTTTAGATTTACACAAATTTTGCAAAAATAGTAGTTTCCATATGCCCCTCACCCAGTTTCAACTAATGTTAGCATATAACATAACCATGGTACATTGTCAAAAACTAAGAAATCAACATTGGTACATTGCTATTAACTGAACTCTCAACCTTATTTGAATTTCACCAGCTTTCCCACTAACGTCCTTTCTGTGTCCCAGGATCCAATCCAGGATACCACATTGCATCTAGTCAGCTCCCTTTTTATTGTGCGTCATCTCCAGGAAAATAGAGAAGTCACAGGTTATTCTTTTATCATTTAAACACTTCCTGATAACTTTTGGGAATTCTAGAGTCCACGTTTGTGAGGGGTATGAAATCAGAGTTTTCAGTCTCTTTTGTGGAGATTGGTACTTCACTCTCTCTGTGCCTAAGCAGATAAAAGGATTAACATGAAAGTGAAAGCTGAGGCTGAAGTAGGATAGTTGGAGCCATGCCAGGTGCTTTCAAAGCCTGTCTGGCTCCTCTGAGGACCTGGAGGCACCCTTGAGGTCTTCAGCCTTGAAACAGGGCTTTTGTGCCTGTAGCAGATACCCTGGTAACACAGATGGATAAGGACGTATGTACTCTCTGTAACAGCACTTCTTATTGTAGTAATCCTAAATAGTTTACAAAGACTTTTTACATCTATACCTGATTAACAACAACATAAAAAATTTGAGGACACACTGAATACATTTCAAGCTTCCAATGTTCCAGATTTTATTCTGGGTATTTTAGTAATAATAATCGCATTTAATTCTCCCATCTATGAGGCATTATTTACATTTCATAGATGAGAAAGTTGAGGTTTTGATTGTTTTTAAATTGCTCAAGCTCACACAGTTAGCAAATGATGTATCAGGAATTCCAATCTGATATGTTTAACTCCAGCTCCACATTGCTAATCAAAAAAGTTAAGACTTTGGACTTGGAATAGGTGTTCTCTGATTCCAATAAATCTTTATACTCTAGCCCATGCCTATTCTAATTATTACCTGAATCTATTAAATAATTCACTTAATCAAGTCAACAAATATTTAAATACTATATGCATTTTACTATTCTGAATTCTTTGGAAAATTTAAAGTTTTCAATTTTTCTAGGGGCAAATAAGACTATTATTCATCAAGTTTTTAAATAAATATGTAACCTGATAATCAAAAGAGTCCTTTTATAGCATTATATGATCAACATGGTGCCAGAGGCTCTGTGAGATACAATTAATTTTCACATATAAGAAATTCAGGGATCCCAAAGTAAATATCAGTTCTACCATTAGCTTTAGCAAGACACCAAATATGGGATATGCGAAATTAACTGTTAGTTTCATAAAGCCGTTAAAATGTTCTAGAGTCGATTTCATTATTTAATAGGTGGCTAGTGAATCAACTGACATAATGCCAGAAAGGTACAGAAGCAGAGTTAGAAAGAATGGGGAAAAGATTAAGGAGCTGTGGTTAAACTATGTTAAGAAAATCTAGAGTAACATGAGTGGAATTGTGGGAACAAAATTCTTATTACCAAGTTTACTAAATAAGCAGAGAGGTAATTTGAGGTTTATTTTACCTATGGATCATGTTCCGGGTATACCAAACAGAAGGAAATGATTCCTTCAGGAGAGATGTATAGTTACGGTTTAAGTCCTGTCCAGATAAGGAACACCGGTAATTTCCTACAATCACACCATCTGGATTCAGCATGGGTACCACTTTGAAGATGAAAGTGTCCCGAAGCAACTGCGCATCACTTGAGTCTCCTAAGATAAAATCTAGGAAGCCTTTCATGATCCAAGAGCTGTTGGTTTCTCCTGGATGTACCCTTGCAGTCAAAATCACGGCCTTTTGCTTTCTTGAGTCAGCGTTCTTCAAGGGGGTAGCGATCGTTAAAACGTACACCATATTCCTAGCAATTGTGTGGCACAAGACACGGATTTTACAAAACTTTGACCGCACTGGGTCATTATTGATGCCAGAAAGGTATTCTTGTAGGTTGGTGTAGGTGTATGGATAGCAGTGAGCAAAGTAGCAGGTATCGTTGTTGTGTGGAAATTGAAATGTCCATGTGAGAGAGAAATAATGACGCCCATCTTGCCCGGGGTTGTTCCTATAATACTTGATTTGGTCTCCTATTCTCTGCCAGCCAACATTATGAGACTTAGCCTCTTTTTCAGAATAAAACAGTGGGCGCATACCCCGATTGTACAGACTAGCAGGCTTGATGAAATTGGTAATAGTGAACCTGTAGACTGTTCCTGCTTGGGTATTAGTGACTTGGAAATAGTACCACTGGGTGTGTTTGTTTGTGAAGAGGTCAGGACGCAGAGTCAACTGGTATTCATATTCTGCCCTAATACACAAAAAGGAAGAGGGAAAAAAGCACATAAAAATGTAAAAATGACATTCAAGTTTAAATAAATAAGGAAAATTATTTTATTTTTACCTACTCACAGAAAGCTTTTTTTGAGGGGGGAAGCAAACAATGTTTATTTAGGAGGTATCCTAAATAGCAAGTAATTGCAAAAGATTAAAGTTTTCTCTTTTATTTGATGTGAAACTGCTTCTAGGCAAATTCTAAAGCCTTTTTATTACTTTGCAATTCAAGAGAGCACATAAAAATGGGTGTTTGATATAAAATCATATTTTCAATATACTTATGTTTCTTATAAATGATTAAAGAAGAGTTCTTGAAATTGAATTAAAGTCCAATATTTCTCTTTTCAGACATATATTTCTACTACCTATTAGATTCTAATTCTAGGGATTTGAAATAACTATCACTGAGAATGTTTTAAAATATATATAAATTAATATGACAATAGATTACAAAATTTTAAACACTTTGAGGACTGTGTTTGATAACTATTTGTATCCCCCATATTTAGTCACTGAGAATACTTAATTAGAAGCAAAAATAATTTTACTGGTATATTACACACATAATACATATATATATATATATTTTTTTAACCTAGTTACTTATAAATTTTTTCTTTACCAAGTGACTTTCTATTATATCAGCACTATGCACTCCGTGTGTGTGTGTGTGTGTGTGTGTGTGTGTGTGTGTGTATAGTTATAAACAGTGACCTAGGAATATGTGAAATGAATGTTGAGAAATCTTGATAGCTGTTGAATCTAGGTGATGGGTATACGGTATTTAACGGAGAACTACATTATTTTCTGTACTTAAATATTTTCATAATAGAATTTTTTAAAAGAGTGCCCTTGGATAACATGCATGTTCCTAATGCATGTTATGGAACTCCTATCCCAAGAGCTATTCCATTAAAAAGTTTGAGAAGCACTGTATGTGTGTTCGCACGCACGTGTGTGTGTGTGTGTGTGTGTGTGTGTGTGTGTAACACTTCATATTGGAATACTGGAAATGTACAGTACAAAAACCTCCTTAACTTTAACTCAGAGTTTTCAAAATTATTTGAATCCAGAACTTGAACCTTTCATATGTATCCCCACTATAATCTCTAATTAGCATCTGTACTCCAAAGAATTACAGTTCATTGATGGAGACTAAAACTTTAAAGTACTTAATATAGAAAATAATAAATAGTTGGTGTTCTAGCTCCTCAAATAAATATAATTAAAACCTACACTTTGACTACCTTCTGTAGATTACCACTCTCAAACCTTGCTTCAAACATCAAAGTATTGTCACAATTATCCACAGGCTGCTTCAGAGGTGTTCGGTTGCCCCCAACTCGGGAATAAACAAAACAGGGCTCTTTGTAAGCTGATGAGAGAAGAAGTCCATACATATATCAAGCCATGTCTGAACTACAGGCTATTCTGCATAGAGTTTGGAGTTACAATACAAGTGAGTGTCACTAAGAATTTTAATTTTTAAAGTAATTTGATACTAATATATAGATTTATGTTCAAGTAAGAAAATCTAAAAGTATTTAGACTAAAAAAGCAATGCTTAAAATAAATTCATGTATTTCTCACATTAAAAATTCTCATTCTGTTTCTGGTTATTATGAAGTAATTGATTCTGAACTTGCCCTTTCACTGTAAATGAATATAGAACTGGAAAAATATGAGCTCTTTTCATGTATTTGGACAACACATAGACCAGAACTATAGTAGGTTCTTGAAAGAAAATAAATACATGAAGTAAGCCCATGTTTAACTCTGGCTTTCTTCCTGGAATACATTCTGACTACGTCTTAGAAAGGTGGCACTTAAGAATAGCATAACAGTCTTGCTGGGCTGAAGAGGCAAGATTGTTGCTTGAGGCTGCTGAACTTTGTGAGGCAGGGCACCAGAGAGAAGAAAGCTACATTGAAGGAGGGTCCTCAACAGTCTACATGGTGTTTCCCCAGCCCTTAGCTGAGGGCTTGGCTTTAGAAGCACAGGATAAGACTTAGCAAGACAGGAAAG